ATGGTAATCAAGGCCAGAGAACATCCCTAGATACAATGAAAAGTTCATGGTGATAAAGCTTATAAAATAAAGGTCCCTGAATCTTGAATTGAAAAGTTTTATCAGCTTTCTGAATTACCTAGAGAACAGTCTATCCGTGTCTGAGTTAAGAAAAAAATCCATTTGTGCAACCAAGAGAGACGCTATGACAACCAAGTCTCTCAGTAGCCATTGGAAGGAGGCGGAACACTCTTTAACCCCAACCTGTCTGCGCCATTGACTCATTATGTGTCATTAAACAACTCACTTCCCCTCTCTGTCTTCAGTTTCCTTATCAGTAAAAAGAGAGGTCTGGACTGGAATATCTCAATGGGACCTGCTTCTTTTTGCCAAGTGGGGCTTTGGGTAAACAACCAAAATGCTAACTATGTATATAATATACCTTCTTAAGATTTAAAATTTTTTTGTTGTCCCATAAACAAGATTGGATGTGGCATCACCAGACCTGGATTCTAATCCTGCTATTTCTATTTATTAGCTATAAAGGCTAAGACAAGTCACTTCCTTTCTCAGGGCCTTTGTTTCTTCATCTGTGAGATGGGAGGATTATACTAGATAAGATCAAGGACATCTAATTCTTCAGTAGGGGACCACCTGATCAAAAATCCATACTTGTAGGGGGCTGCATGAATGTATACAACTAATCATGTCCGGATTCACTGCAATTACGAATTGATCTAAGTTTAATGGCATAATAAATAACTCCTGGTTAGAGCTTTGTATGGTGCATGGCACTTAGTAGGCATTTAATAAATGTTAAGTGACTGATTTTAAGGTTTACAGAGTACTTTCTTCACCACAACCTTGAGAGATAGGTAGTACAGGTATTATTATCCTCATTTTATAGATGAAGAAACTGAGGCTCAGAAAGGTAAAATTATTTCCTATGGTCATAGAACTAGTAAGTACAAAAACCTGGATTTAGACCCATGTCTCCTGACGAGTCCAGCACACCAGGTGGCAATAGAGGGTTCATCACCTTCTCACCTGGACTACTGCAGGAGCCTCCTATTTGGTCTCTCTGACTCAAGTCTTACACACACACACACTTCCAATCCATTCTCTACCCAGCTACCAAAGTGATTTTTCCTTATTATGTAGATCTGACCATGCCATTCCCCTGCTCAATAAACTTGACTCCCTAATTATCCATAGAATCAAGTATAAAATCCTCTGTTAGGCATTAACAGCCCCTCATAAGCCAGTCCCTACATACCTTCCCAAGCTTACTACACTCCACTCTCCTTTACACACATTAGGTATGGTCTGGCCAAACTTGCCTTCTTAACTAAGTCTCTCTCACTTGCAATAGCACCACAGTGAATGACTGATCCTCCATGGGTCAAAATGCACTGTTTTCTCCAGAAAAATCTCTGCCTAAATTTGAATAGGATACAAACCAGTATTTTAAGATCCCTGAGGAAGGTCCCAACAAGCAAGCAGCTTGTTAGAAACTGTATGTGCTATCCTTTGAGGATTTCCCAATACTCCAATGCCTGCTGAAAAGGGAATAGGCTTTGGACCAAATATATACAAATGTATATTCTCCATTACCTGAGTCTCAACTACCTGAGCCTCTGCACTAACTCCAGTGTCAGCAAACTCCCCCTGTCCGCCCTGCTTGTCCTGGGTGGCTAGTGGAATCTGAAATGACTGAGGAAACAAATCATATCAATTTATTAAGCAATGCATGCCAATTGTAGGGCAGCTAGGTGGCACTGTGGATAAAGCACTGGGCCTGGAGTCAAGAAGACTTGAGTTCAAATCCAGCCTCACACACTTACTAGCTGTGTGACTCTGGGCAAGTCACTTCACCTTTTTTGCCTCAGTTTCCTCATCTGTAAAATGAGCTGGAGAAGGAAATGGCAAACTACTCCAGTATCTTTGACAAGAAAGCCCTAAATGGGGTCACAAAGAGTCAGACATGACTGAAACAACTAAACAACAACATGCCAATTGTATAACAAATCAGTACCAAGCCTCCTCAGCTTTGGCATTGGACCCCAAATACAGGGGGAGAAAGATTTTTATGTATTAAAAACAATTAATCAAATAAGACCAATTAATTAAAAGAAAACAATCAACAGGATATATATAAACCACTATACAAGATTAGGTAATCTGATTTCTAATTGGAGGGGACTTTAGAGGATTTTTAGGGGATTTAGGGATTTAGGGGATTAGGTGGCTTTCCAAATTGGGAGGGGGAGAGCTAACAGGTGCAATTCTCTGAAATCAGAAAAAGAGGTGTCCCACTCCTCCCCAAGTGTCTTCATTTAATCAAACGAAGAAGGAAACAGTAACTGACCAGTACAGGGTCAGTTTTCAGAAAAGACATAGATTGCTTGAGATATATAACTGTGAGAAAACTCCTTGCATCAATCTTCAGATCTGATTGAGTTTCTGGCCAGTATAACCTAAGCCCTAAGTTAAGCATTAAACAAATTTTGTCTCTAATCAACAGATAGAGGTGACCCGGCTTCCCAGCTACACAGGGCTAGTTATAAACAATGCAATAAAGTTTTCTCATAGTTCCCGTGGTTGAATAAAGTTTTCTCACAAGACAGAAATTGAACCAGATCCATAACTGAATAGAAAAGGAACTGAGCTAAGCCCAGAATTGAGTCACAAGATGGAGTCGGTATTGTTCACTCAGTTCCCATGATTCCCTCAACTCCCTCACCTGTGACCATCATCATATGGCCTCTGGCTCCACCTTCCTCCTGCTTCTTGCTGCTCTAGGCTAGGGTTTTAGGCCATCACACAGATCACCAAACCTGTGCTAAAGCAGTTAGGAGGGCAATGATATGACTAAGAGGTCAGGACATGACTAAAGTAGGAAACTAGCTGTTATTTTAATGCAGAGGCTGAGAAGGGTATATACTTACTTGTATGTTACTATGGCTGGGTGTTTTTGACTATTGGTTGGTTTGTTTTTAATTTTTGCAAATTATGACTTTTCCAATAGTCAGATCACATGATTTCAAGTATCATCTCTATTCAGATGATTCCCAGATCTATATATCCAGCCATCATCTCCCTCCTGAGCACCAGTCCTGCATCACCATCTTGCAACTGGACCTCTACCTGGATGTCCCATAAATATTTTCAAATCAACATGTCCCAAATAGAACTCATTATCTTCTCCCCTAAATTTCCCCTATTATTTCTGCTGAGAACATCACCAATCTCCCAGTCATCTAGGTCCATGACCTTTCCCTCTCCCTTACCCCTTATATCTAAGCAGTTGCCAAGATTTACCAACTCCACTTGTCAACTCTACCAACACAATTTTTCTCATCTCCACTTATACAGCCACCACCCTAATTCTGGCCCTTATCACCTCTCACCTGAACTATTTGGCAGCCTCTGAATCATTATCCTTGCTTCCATCCTCTCCCCCTCTCCAACCTATCCTCCACACAATTGGCAAAATAATCCTCCTAAGGCAGAGGTTTGACCATAGGGCCTGGCACATAGTAGACACTTAATAAATGTTTATTGACTAACTGCCCCAAAACCTCCAGTGGCTCTCCATTGTCTCTAGGATAAATATAAACTCCCTAGCCAGCCATTTAAGACCTTCCACAAGATTTCCCCTATCTACCTTCTTAGCCTCATTTCATACAATTTCCATTCATGAACTCTATATTCCAGCTACACTGGACTACTGGCCATTGCCTGAACTCCACTCCCTTATCTACTCCTCCTAGCATTCACACACAAGCTATTCCCGAGGCCTGGAATCCACTAATTATCTCTACTTCTCAGCATCCTTGCCTTTCTTTGAGGCTCAGCTCCACTGCCAATTCCTCCCTAAAGCCTTTCTGACGTTACTGCTCTCACCTTTTTTTTTTAAATTTTTTGTACTATACTTGTGTACATGCTATGTCTTCCCAGTATTACTGTAAGGCTTCTTGAGGATAGGCAAAGCCACGTTTTCTTTCTTTGTGTCCCAAGTGCCTAGCACAGTTCCATTCACATAGTAAGCACTTTTAACTGAATTCTTCTGTTACCAAAGTCCATTCCTAAAGTCACTCCTGTCTCTGGGGGACAAAATATTACTGGACATGGTAAGGCCTTCCAAGTCTCCTCTGCCTAGGATAACCCATCAGAGGCCTTCTCTGAGCTAAGCCTTTATTGCTGGCCAATCTATTTGCCTTTAATTCTCTTACTTATCTCTCTAGACATTGTTTCACGGCCCTCTCTAAAGCTACTACTATTTTTTGTTTTGTTTTCATTTTTTTAATATCCTCTACCTCCGTGCCATCTCCAGCCTTGGCCAGATGAGTCTTTAGACATTGCCTCCATCCAAAGCTTCTTACTATTCAGAGCCATCTTCTCGGACATGGCAAAAAAAATTTCTGCATGTTTTCCACACCAAAAGATCTGAGCTCCAGCTGCCTGTACCAGCTCCAGGGTTTGCGTGCTATCCAATTTTGCTGTAACAGTTTGCCCACATGAACTCTACTCCTCTGCAGCCATCATCACAGCACTGAGAGATCTAGCTTCTCCCTTCCTCTTGTGAGCTGGGATCTCAGCTGTTCCCAGAAGTCACCAAGTATGTGCCCAAGTATCTTTAGATCCCACTGCTATACTCAAATCTCAGACCACCTACTCTGAAAATATTTTTCCCTAGGCTCTTGGGTCCCAGCCTGGTCCTCTCATTTTCTCACTGCCACCACACAATACTTCCACTTCAGAATTAACATTTCTCAACTCAAATGATCCAGGACTCATGCTATTCTTTTCCCCTTTTCCTACCAGCCCCTCAAGGAAACATAAAGTTTTCTTAGGTTTTCTAAGGATATTTACTACTAGTGACAAATAGAACAGACAGAGGAAAACTCCCGAGATGTTAAGTAATAAATCAAACGTTCCAAGCTGAATATCAAATATTCTTGAGCGGATTGCAAAATTCACTATCCCGCCTGACTTCCGCAGGCTTTTATGCTGTTCACCTCTTGTTCGGTCTCTTAATTTCCTGGGCTTTCTTCAGTCTCTCACTGGAAAGCCAGAATCTCTCTTTCAGATTGGAAGGCTCTGCCCCTGCTCTCTTTCACATTTCTACTGTTCCTAGAAGAAAATGGAAAAATTATCGTACTGGGGTGCTAATACCATTTATTTTGATGTGGCAGCTGATCAGGGTCAGAGTCACTTGCATAGTATAAAAGAGACCAGACAGCTATGTCTGTCCCTGAACATAGAGAAGTAACGGGAAGTATACCAAATGGGTTTTGGAACTCAGGTTACGTAATCTAGTTTATTTTCAGATTCCCATTCTCTTTCTCCCACCCATGCTCCCCTCCCCAGTGAGAAAACAAGAAGTACAAAACCTCTGTTCTTCCAAATTGGGTAGAGGGGAATCAAGGGCCCAAATGGACCAAACTGGAGGGGATGCATGAACTCACTTGATTAATCCAACCTCGTGTTCTGTAGGCTTTGAGGGACCACTGTGTGAGGTGGAGATAAACGAGTGTAAGTCAGAACCCTGCCAGCACCAGGGCATCTGTCATGATCAACTGAGTGGCTTCCTGTGTGACTGCCTTCCTGGTGAGTACCTCATACCTGTACCACCACCCCTACCCCTGCCCTGAGTCCCCTAAATACTCTGAACTCCCTACAGCCATACAGCCTCAATCCCTGCCTCCCTACAAAACAATCCCCAAATCCCTGAGCCCCTCCAAATCTCCCACCCCACCACTGACCACAAGTTGCCCTTTTTACAAGTCACCTCTGTTCCCCAAACTCTTATGTCACCAATATTTGTTTACTTCCATTCTCTAACCACCTCCATGTCTTCCAGATCTCCTTAAGTTACTGCTCTTTCTCCCCCTCCTTCCCCACCTCCATTCCCTTTAATTTCCTCTCTCAGTTCTGCCTGCACCTCCTCTCTGGCCCTTATCCCTTCCCCCAGCTTCTCCAGCCTTCCCTCTGTCTTATGCTATCTCCATTCCCTACCACCCAACACATTCTGAGAACAGCACTCCTCCCTAAAGGCCATCCCCTTATGTCTGCATCCCCTGGGAAACCCTCCCAGATACACCTTTTTGCTACCAGATAGTCAGGAGTGAAGTCTTTCTACTTCCCTGATCTTTGACTCACCCCCCTCTCCCACATTTACATACCAGGCTTTACTGGCCCCCATTGTGAGGAGGATGTAGATGAATGTGCCAGCTCTCCCTGTGCTCATGGTGGAAAATGCCAAGACCAGCCTGGGGCCTTTCACTGCCAGTGTCCTTCAGGTGAAAGCTGGGGCAGAGGAGGAAGGGATTGGGTACTAGGATGCCTTAAAGTTGTATGAAGGTTGGTGTGTGTGTGTGTGTGTGTGTGTGTGTGTGTGTGTGTGTGTGTATTTCAAAGGGTCTCAAACTTACCCAACTCCCTCCCTTCTTTCCCCATACATCCAGGATTTGAAGGTCCTCAATGCCAGGTGGATATAGATGAATGTCTCAGTGACCCTTGTTCCTCAGGATCTACCTGTCTTGATCTCCCTGGCTCCTTCTCCTGCAGCTGCCCCCCAAATGTTACAGGTCAACAGGGAATTGGATTAGAAATAAAGGATAAATATTTGAATCACATTGAGGTATGAGGGGTGGGGAAAGACAGGGAGGACATTTTCAGAATGACCCACTTTCAGGGATGAAAGGTACTGCGGGGTCAATGTTAGTGTCATCTGTTGTGCCCAGGGTTCAGCTAGGAAAGACTGGGTTTAAGGGGCAGTTCTTAAGGGTATAGTGGCTGGGGGCCCTCTAGGGTATTTAAATAGACTTGGTTAGAGATTCTCTCAGCGAGGACATAGAGGACTCTAAGAGGCTGACCCTTCTGTCTTATTTTTTGATTCACCCTAGGACAACTCTGTGAGTTCTCCTTGTGCCCAGCCTCCTTGTGCCCTCCAAAGTGGGGATGTCAAGCAGAAAGCCAGTGCCTCTGCCCTGATGGAAACCCCAGCTGCCCCCCTGCCAAAGACAACTGTACCTGCAAACATGGACAATGCCAAGAGTAATACCTCCCCACATTCTACCTCTAGACACTCCCTTCAATTGGGACTAGAAGGGAAGGAGACAGGAGAACACAGGCAGTAGAGGAACAATGGGAAATGATCAATAGTGAGAGAATGGGTAGCACTAATTGCCAGTAAGAAGTGAAATCCTAAGCTATGTCCAGAGATTTTCCATCCTTGGTATAATCTCTCAGATGTTTGAAGGTCATAATTGGGTGACCCTTTAATTTTCATTATCATCCCAATATGTTTAGATTTTCTTCATAGGTCCTTTTTTTCCTTTATTCATCTTTTTTGATTCCTCTAAAGTGCTTAAAATTTTCCATATTTTAAGTTCTCAGGCCCCAGGCTACATATTTAGAAAGGGAAAGACCAAAGGTGAGCAGAATGGGAGGATGATTTCATAACATCAATGTCTCATATGCTTTCGTTTCTGCAGCTTATTTTCTCCATAGATGCATCCCAGGACCAACGCTTAGGATAAACAATTAATAGATTTCATTTTTTAAAATCCTTTCTGTTTATTCTGCTCAATTTCTCCCTGTCTTGCACTCTAATTATTTATATAAAGGGCAAAATTGTCAACTTGTTCCTGACTGAGAAGGTTGAATTGTAATTCCTGTTCAGGAAATGTCTTGGATTAAACCAGATTAATTAAGATTACATCATCTCAGTTTGGTGAGCCCCTATCAAACTCCTCTAAAGTAGAGTGCCCGAGGCAGCTAGGTGGCACAGTGGATAGAGCACTAGCCCTGAAGTCAGGAGGACCTGAGTTCAAATCTGGCCTCAGACCAAACATTTGACACTAGCTGTGTGACCCTGGGCAAGTCACTTAACCCCCATTGCCTAAAAAATAGAAAAACAGTGTCAGTCATAGACAGAGGAAATCCTTTGCCACTATCCCAGTGGAAAACAAGCTGTGCCACCTCACACCTCTCCCCTCCCACCATCTGTACCTGCAAATGTGGACACTGCCAAGGACCAAAGAGCTGGAAGGGACCTTAGAGATCATCTAGTCCACGGGTGGGGTGGGGAATTTGTGGCCCTCTAAGTCCTCAAGTGTGACCCTTTGCCTGAATCCAAACTTCACAGAACCAATCAGTTTGGATCCTTTGACTGAATCCAAACTTCACAGAACAAATCAGTTTGGGTCCAGTTTGGATCCAAAGGGCCACTCTTGAGGACCTAGAGTGCCACATGTGGCCTCGAGGCTGCAGGTTTCCCACCCCAGCTAGTCCAACCGCCTCACTTTACAGATGAGGAAACTGAAGCTCAGTGAGGTTAAATGACTTGCCCAGGGTCACACAGCTATGAACTGTCTGAGTCAGGATTTGAACTCTGTTCTTCCTGATTCCAAGCCCAGCAATCTGTGCACTACACATGCTGCCTCTGCCATGAGGAAGAAAGATCTGCTGAGTCAGAGCTGATGGTGGAAAAGATCATTTAGTTCTAGAGTCAGTGGGGATAAACAGTCATTCAATTGAGATCATTTGGGAAAGGGAAAGGGAATGAGGTCAATAACTCAAAGCCAATGGAAACAAATGGTCAATATGCGGGAGGAGAGGAAAGTGGGGTAGGGGTGGAATCTAAATGAAGGAGCCAAGTCCCCACACACATGCACCCAATATGCAAACTTATCCTTTCACACCTAGATCTACATGTGTGTGTGATGTGGGTTGGACAGGGCAAGACTGTGAGGAGGAGCTGGGGGGCTGTGTTTCAGAGCCTTGTGCCCATGGGGGTACATGCCACCCCCAGTTCCATGGCTACAACTGTACCTGCCCCACTGGATACACAGGTGAGGCCCCTGTGACAACCTAAAAATAAATTGCCCAACTCAGGACCTGGGGTGGGTCCTAGCTACCACAGAGGGGAGGAAAGAAAGGGAAAGGGGAAGGGGAAGGGGAAGGGGAAGGGGAAGGGGGAAGGGAAGGGAGGGGAGGGAAGGAAAGCATGGAAAAGAGCACAAAGGGGATGGAAGACATGGAAATGGGGAAATAAAGAGGAGTGGAAGGAAGATACAAAGGGGGGAGATGGACTACAGAGAAGGAAGGAAACGAAGAGGCAAAAAGAGAAGGCAAAGAAATGAGTCCCCTGGGTGAGGCCCTTGTCCATTTATCCTAGGCCCCACCTGCAGTGAGGAGGTGACCAAGTGTGACTCCAGACCATGTCTTAATGGTGGCTCCTGCAGTCCTACCCCTGAAGGTTACTCCTGCACCTGCCTTCCTAACTATACCGGATCCCATTGTCAGACCAGCAGGGACCACTGCACATCTGGTGAGTGTCTATTGTGGGCTGGGTGGGACACAGTAGCATTGGCTGGGTTCAACTTGTGCTGAGTACAATTTAAGTGTTGATTTATGTTGAATGGAAATGAGGGACGCTATGTTACATTGACCTGGGTGTGAAGTAAATAAAGTTGTTACCTCTGGACAGCCAAGTGAAGACCAAAATCCTCACCACTCTTCTCTCCATGCCCCTTCTCCCAGTCCCATGTCTCAATGGGGGCACCTGTGTGGATGAAACCAGTACCTTTACCTGCTTTTGCCCCGTGGGATTCAAAGGGACATATTGTGAAGAGAAAGCTCCCCCAAACTGTGCAGACAGGTGAGTGGTGGAGGTTAGGAAAGGGAACTTTCCTACCCTTTCCAACTCTCCCTTTCCCTATTCCCCCCAGACCCTGGGTTCTCTCCCCCTCTATTTTCTGAAAGCTTCCCTGATGCCTTCACTCCTTGTCTTACATCTTCCCTGAAACCATTGCCACCCTTCCCTCTCATATCTTCCCTGTGTCCATCTTATCCAGACCCTGCAGGAATGGGGGGACCTGCCAAGATGGCTTGGAGGGACTTCATTGCCTCTGCCCCCATAGTTACACAGGAGACAGATGCCAGGTGAGGAGGTCACAGGGATTCTATGGCAGGAAGCTGACAAAAGGGAGATTTGGGGGGAAAGGAGGTTTTTCAACTGAGAAACTCTATCAGAGAAACTAAGATATTATGATTTATGGAAACCATGATAACCTGGGAATTAGTATCCACATGAATTTGACATATTGAGATGTGTCTAGGAGTCAGGAGGCTAATTTTATCTAGGTTTAGAGGGGGGACAGATAAGAGGAGGATCAAGAGGGATTTCAGATATAGGAGGCAGTTTTTAGAATTAGGAGTATCCCAGGGAATGTGGGAGACTTCTGAGGCTGTACATTGTGAATGCATTTGAAGGTGGAGAGTGTTTTCTGGAGGTGGGAATCAGGAGATGGAAGGTGGCTAGACTTAATGCTTCTTCTGCCTCTTCACAGAACCCCCTAGACCTCTGTGTTCCAAATCCCTGTCAACATAATGCCTACTGCCTCAAGACTGGCTCCTCCTTCCAATGTCTTTGCCCTGGGGGCTGGACAGGGTCTCTCTGTGAATTGCCTCTCTCTCTCTGCCAAGTGGCTGCTCTGAACCAAGGTATCTATCCTAAGATCAACTTAGGGGACCCATACTCAGAGAGCTAGCCTAGGTATTTACCCATCCACCAACACAGATGATGATGATTATTATTAATGTCATGTTTATATGATGCTTTCAGTTTTAAAAAACACTTTCTTCCCAATGATCCTTAAGGCAGATGATACAAATATTATTAACTCCATTTTACAGATGAAGAAACTGAAGCTGAATGATTAAATTACTTGTCCACAATCACTTGGCTAAGAGTTATGACTGTTTTCAGGCCCAACAATCTTTCCACTATCACACAGTTAATACACTACAGCTTAACACAGCTCTACTTTAACCAACATGGTTCAAGTGCACTCACAGCAGCTGGATACAACTCAACCACACCTAACAAACTTCAACACAACACAACTCAATGACATTTCCAACTCAACACAACCGAACTCAAAATATTAAAATTGGAAGAGACCTTTAAAATTAACTTGATTCAACACCCTCATCGTAAAAATAAATCCCAAGGCCATATAGATAGCTAGTGGCAGGAACTATAGGATTCAAATTCAGGTCTTATAATTCTAAATCTAGGACTCTCTCAGTACAACCCAGATAACCCAAACCAACCCAGCTAATAGCATTCTGACTCAGTGCAACTTAACACAAAGCAACCACTTACTGAATACACCTCAGTTACTCTCAACACAGCTCAACCATAGTCAACCACGTCAAACTCAGCTGTAAATTGCCTAACATAATATAACTACAACCTATGTTCTTGGAGTTATAGAAAATTCTTCGTTTAACAGACACTATCTATCATTGTCTCATAATCTTGGAAGGGGGGAGGGTAGTAGGGAGAATGGGCAGACTGTGGTTTTAACCTATTGCCTGCCAATGTTCCTCAGACTCAGGAAGATCCTCTGCTTACACTAGGAATATAACTGACACAAAAAGGAAGGATTATTTTCCTTTCTAGTCAGGTTTTCTCTTCTCTCTTATCTGAGCATTCTATTGGGCTGCTCTCTCCTCACTTCTTTCCTCCCCCTCCCCCTCCTCCTTCCCCTCCCCTTCTATGTATATCCCTCCCTCTTTTTTCCCCCATGTCTCTCTCCCTAGGCATAGAGGTCTCTTCCTTGTGTCAGAATGGAGGGCTCTGCATGGACAATGGTATGTCCCATTTCTGTCAGTGCCCACCTGGGTTCCAAGGCAGCTCATGCCAGGACAAAGTGAATGTATGTGAGTTGGGGCCCTGCCAGCATGGGGCTACATGTATGGCCCATCCCAATGGGTACTTCTGCCAGGTGAGAGGGACTGAGGTGCAAGGAAGATTCAGGGAGCTTGGAGGAGTGGGAATACAGTCACATCAGGGACACTGAAGATATATTTGATTTGGGAAGAGACTCTAAGCTAACAGAGTTGGAGGGGTTGTTTAAAAGTGTTAAAGAGGGGGACAAGGAAGTGTGCTGCCTGAAGTTCGGGTGCATAAAATAGTGATGTGTTGTATGTATTGTGGTTATAACAATATGAATGGAGTAATGCTAAATCTGGATCTTGAGTTGAAACTAATTGATGGTGGTGAGTTATGTTGAATAAAGAGAAGAACAATTGAGCTGTGGGGATATATGGGTAAAAAAAATATTTTGTTTTAGAGTTGGAAAGAGCCTCAAAGATCATCTAGTCCAACTCCTTTCATTCCACAGATCTAGAAACAGGCCAAGAAAGATAAAAGGGACTTGCTCAAGTCACACTACAAGTTATCAGTACAGCCAATATTATAATTCAAGTCCCCTTTGACTTGACTCCAGTTTGGTGCCTTTTCCATACATACATTTGTTAAACTGTTTTTAATCATGAGTTGTACTATCCATGCTGAAATCTGTGAAATTGCACTGAATTATGTTGAACTGCGTTAAATTACATTTGGTTGTAGTGATTTGTGCTGGGCTAATCACAGATTCAAATTCCCTGCCTCAGCCTGAGCTACCCTCCTGACCCCACAGTGTGCCCCTGGCTATCACGGACAGAACTGCTCAGAGGTGGATGCTTGTCAGTCCCAACCCTGCCATAATCATGGCACCTGTTCCTCAGTCCCTGGTGGCTTCCACTGTTCCTGCCCCCCTGGCTTTGTGGGCCTACGCTGTGAGGGTGATGTGGATGAATGCCTGGACCGGCCTTGCTACGCTGCAGGCACTGTGGCCTGCCATCCTCTGGCCAATGCCTTCTTCTGCCAGTGTCTCCCAGGATACACAGGTGATGAATGGAGACTAAGGGTGGAAGTCAAGGACAGGGAAACTGGGGTGTGGGTATCTCTGAGGCACAGCTAAGGAGCAAGAGAGAACAAAGCAGGATCCCCTTCTACCCCACACAACCCACTGCTGGGCTGGCAAAATCATTTTTTCTACCTCCCCCCAGGTTCCATGCCATATATCCTCCTCTCTTCCAGGGAAGGAGATTCTACTCTATCACCACCATCATGAATTCCTTTGCCCATTACTCTTGTCCCCAGCAGTAAATAGTAAAGGAAAGAAGTGTGAGAAGCACTAATTCCTCACACTGGATGTCATCCTCACATCCCCAGGTCAGCGGTGTGAGGAAAAATTGGATGCTTGCAAGAGTCAGCCCTGCTCCCATGGTGGAACCTGTGAAGTTGTAGTTGGAAGTCACCTTGATTTCACCTGCCACTGCCCCGTGGTGAGTCATCTCCCACTCAACACACAGCTCACCATGGTCACTTTCACTACAAACAGCAAACAGCCAGGTCAGGACATAACTATAGGAGGGGAACACCAGGAAGAGGCACAAGAGGAAAGGGCAGGAGGTTTGGGCAGTGGGAAGCAAAAGTCAGGTCCTCAGGGAGGAAGTTATGGGGAAGCACTCAAGAGTCAGTCAGTAACATATGGATACCTATAACATATATATCTAATGCATAGAGAGGTCAGGAAATCATGAGCAAATGGACAGTGATGATCAGAAGAACACATTACTAATCAGTGAGGTTCTGTGACTGAAAGCCAGAAGCCCCCAGTTCTAGTCTCAGCTCTGCAACCAATAATAATGAATATTTACGTATCACTTTAAGGTTTACAAAGCACTTTCCTATATTACCTCATTTGATCCTCACAACTCCTTTATAAAGCAGGTGCTATCTATTATTACCTCCACTGTACTGAGGGAGCTGAAGCTCAGACAGACCACACAACTGGTGCCTGAGTTCGGTCTCCCTAACTCTGAGCCCTGTGTCCTATCTGCTACGCTCCCTAGAAGGTGTCTTTGTGTCCACGTCATCTACCTGGGACCCAGCTTCTTTACCTAGGAAATAAAGAAGTTGGACTAAGCAACCTTTAGGTCCCTTCCAACTCTGACATTTTGGCAGCATAGTATACTAGAAAGGCCACTGGACAAGTAGTCACAAATCCCAAAGGGCTTAAATCCTGGTACTAACACTATGTGACCGCAACAAGTCACTTCACCTCCTGAGCCTCAGTTTCCTCAACTGTAAAGTGAGCATAACAAAACTTTCTTACCACCCCACAAGACTACTGTTGAGTGTTTTTGTAAACCTTAGAGTACCATAGAAATGTGAGGTGATCATAGGTGTTTTGGAGGTAGAAAAAGGTTATAGTGGGAGTGAGCTATCCAGAGTTCTTAGTCTTAATTTTTTTCTCTCTTTCCTTCCAGGGCTTTGAGGGTCCCACCTGCCTCCATGGTGCCCCTTCCTGTGGCCCCCACCACTGCCATCATGGGGGCTTCTGTCTATCTTCTTCCCAGCCAGGCTCTGTCCCTCACTGTGCCTGCCTCAGAGGCTATGGGGGCCCTGACTGCCTGCTTCCTCCAGTCCCTCAGGGTTGTGGATCTCCTTCCCCTTGCCTACACAATGGCAGCTGCATTGAGTCCCATGGAGTGAAGGGCCCTGGTGGCTCTGGTTTCCATTGTTCCTGCCCCCCTGGGTTCCTGGGGCCCCGATGCCAAACATCTGAGGCAGAGGGATGTAAAGGTCGAGGTGGAGATGGGGCCTGTGATCCTGACTGCAGTAGCCCTGATGGTGCCTGGGATGGGGGAGATTGTTCCCTGGGGATCCCAGATCCCTGGAGGGGCTGCCCTCTCCATGCTCGATGCTGGCTCCTCTTCAGAGATGGGCAGTGTCACCCACAGTGCAACACTGAAGAGTGTCTGTTTGATGGCTACGACTGTGAGACCCCCCAAACCTGCATGTGAGGCTCCTGAGGGACACTTGGGGAGAGAAGGGGTGGCATAACAAGCCAAGCCAGGACTGAGGTCTCAGATCTTAAATCAGGCCTCTTACGCTATTGTACTTTCACCGCTTACAACATCAGCTGGGAGTCAGGGGAAGAAAGAAAGGGTCTCTGAGCTGAAGGAATCTTAGGAGCAGAAGGAGATAGGACATCAGAAGCCACTAATGGAACCCAGAAAATAGAGACCTATGGGCTCCTCTTGGGTACTGTGAGCATCCTAACTGACTAGGCCCCACTGGAACATAGTATATTCCACCTCATCCTATTCCCAACAAATAGAGTCACTGAGAGAAAGGAACTTACAGCTCCTATCTCAAGAGTTTAGGCAAAGAAGTAATTTTTGGGGGTCAGAAAATGAGGAAGATATGAGGAACCTTAGTTCTGGGCCTCCAGGAGATGACCAGGACTCATTAGACACCATTATTGATGAGGTTCTCCCATTTGACAGTCAAAGTCTTTGAGGGGAATAGTCTGTGGAGCTACTGACATCTTTAGTTGGGGGCAGAGAATGTGATACCTGGAAGGATCCAGCAGGAGAGCACAGTTTGGTGGGAGGAGAGGTCCTGAACCCTCTTCTCCCCACCTCTCAGTCCAGCCTACGACCAGTACTGCCGGGATCACTTCCACAATGGACACTGCGAGAAAGGTTGTGACACTGCAGAGTGTGGCTGGGATGGGGGGGACTGCAGGACAGCAGCCTCCGACCCTGAAACAGGTCCTTCCCTGGCGCTGCTGGTGGTATTGAGCCCTCCTAACCTAGACCAGCAGCTACCCACCCTTGCCCGGGTTCTCTCCTTGGTGCTGAGGGTGGGGCTATGGGTGAGGAAGGACCTAGAAGGCAGAGAGATGGTATACCCCTACCCTGGACCTCAAGCTGAGGAAGAGCTCCGCAGAAATAGGAACAACCCTCAACAAGAAAGAACAGCACCCCCCATCCACCTCTCCAGCAAAGAGACTGATACCCTCCCTGCTGGGTAAGGAAGATTAAGGGAAAGTAGGGCTAAGGCCAAGGACAGCAAACCAGTGACCAGATAACTAGGTCTTCATGGCTCTACCCATACAGATTTGTGGTGGTGCTGGGTATGGATTCATCCCGCTGTGGCTCTGCTCCTTCCACCCCCCGATGCCCATGGGACCCAGGCTTCCTGCTCCGCTTCCTAGCTGCAATGGCCGCTGTTGGGGCCCTGGAGACCCTATTGCCTGGGCCCCTGCTAGTTGCCCATCCCCAGGAAGGCACAGGTAGATGCTATCACCCTCAACTCTTAATTTTCCCTTGAAATTTTCTCCCCTTACCTTGGACCAGGTACAGGTATTCAACTACCTGAATCTTATCCCATACTCATCCACAGCCTTTCCCAGGACTACCCGTTATGCATCACTTACAGAAGAGGGAACAGGATGACTATCAGTGAGGCTATTCTCCCTCACTGATCCTCTGCCCCTCCTCCTATCCCTATACGTTTTGCCTATCGGTCTCTACACTTTCTATATTCGATGCATCTTCTCTAAAGCTGACAAATTTGCTTCACATATCTCTTTCTGGATCTCTGACTTTGTCTTCATTTCTCTTCCACAGAACCCCCAGCACCCCAGCTCCCCTGGCCTGTGTTCTTTTCCCCAGTAGCTGGTGTGATTCTCCTGGTTCTAAGTGGGCTCCTGGTCCTCCAACTTCTCCGGAGAAGGCGCCGGGAGCATGGGGCTCTCTGGTTGCCCCCTGGTTTCTCTAGTAGGCCTCGACCTCGAACAAGACCTGCCCCCCGTGGACGTCGGCCCCCTCTGGGTGAAGATAGCATTGGACTCAAGTAAGAGCAGGAGAGACCCCCCAAATGGCAAGGAGGAATAGGGAAAGCTTACAGAAAGAGAAAATAAGGGGGAAAAGGGGTAATGATTTCACAGAAACAATGAGTCCTAAAGGCAGAAGGAATGAAATCAGCATGCAAGATTGAATGACAGAGGTTATCCACGATTCTTGAGAATTTCATGTTAACTCTCATCACATGTCCCCATTCCCTGTCCCTTCCCCTCTCCCAGGACATTGAAACCAGAGACTGAGGCTGATGAGGATGGGGTTGTGATTTGCTCAGGCCTTGAAGAGGGAGAGGAGATATACCAGGTAAGGGGTATGAGATAGAGATGGGGCCAAGAAGCAGTTCGGGATCTAGAGTGGAATTGAGGGATATAGAGTCCATCTCTGTTGCCTACTTTTACTCTGCCTCACCTCCAGGCTGAGGAAGGGGCCCCACCATCCAAATGCCAACTCTGGCCTCTGAGTGGAAGGGGACAAGAATGTCTCCAGGTGGCCATGTTGACCCCTCCCCAGGAACCTGATAATGAAGCCCCTGATGTAGATGCCTGTGGACCTGGTATGTAAATAATTTTCAATGTTTAAAAAAAAAAACAAGCATCCAACTCCCCACCCTCCATCAATGTTTAGAATCACTGAATTATGGAATATTCGGACTGGGAAAAACCTTAGCGATCTTCTTGTCCAATGCCCACCCCACCCCCATTTGCAGATAAGGAAATTGAGGCCCATAGAATTCCAGTGCTTTGTCCTAGGTCATAATAGCTAGATAATAGCATTTCTCCTTTCTAACTCCTCAGTATCTTTCCAAACCACCAAATCTGTCATTTTGTTCTCCTGTTGTTGGTTTGTTTTTTTCCCTTGAATCCTCTCCTCTGCAGATGGGGTAACCCCACTGATGTCAGCTGTGTGCTGTGGGGGATCAGAACCTAGAACACAGGAGGGGCTGTGCCCAGGGCCACAGGGAACAGAGCCATGGGAACCACTCCTGGGTGGTGGGGCAAGCCCCCAAACCCATACTGTGGGGTCAGGGGAGACCCCACTGCACCTAGCAGCCCGTTTCTCCCGTCTACCTGCTGCTCGACGCCTCTTTGAAGCTGGTGCCAACCCCAATGAGCCAGACAGAATGGGGCGTACTCCCCTCCACACAGCTGTGGCTGCTGATGCCCGAGAAGTCTGCCAGGTCAGGCCCCTAAGGGGAGCAGAGATTAGGGGAAAGGGATAGTAAGCACAACTAGGAATTTAATAGCAAAATCTACCCACACAGGACAGGTAAAAGGGGAACAGAACAAGAGACTACAATGCCTTGATCCAGCCCTTATGGCTCACTGACCTTAATGACAGGTTCCCAGGGCTCCTCTATTTGGAAATGGACCATGGGACTTGGACTATATTGTAAACCTTTCCTGATATATGAACTGTAGTTCAAGCACAGAGCCTTCTGGAGTTTCTTGAATACTAAGTTACCTTCACTACCTGTATTTAGTGATCTGCAATATTAGAAACCTCATTATCTGATCTCAACTTCCTCTGCTGTAAGTAACCACCTCTAAGTAACCAGTTTTAACACCATTTCCCTCTTCCCTTTTATAATTTTACACATACTCCAGATCACAAGAGTAAACTCTCTAGGATTTTGCTGCAAGGGAAATTAAATAAATACAAAAAATATATAAGAATAAGGTAAATTTAAGTGCACATGAAGAAAAACCTTTTAGTCTCAAAATATGTACCATTAAGAATTTTCTAACCTAAACTTTAAAGTTTCTTTAGGCTAGTAGGGGCCTTGATGTCATCTATTTATTTAGGACCCCCATCCCATGACATTCCACTTCCTCCAGGAGAATTTCCTCTTTCCTCACAGCAAAAACACCCAAGCAAACTGCTCCCCCCACCCCCACCCCATTCTGAGCTCACTTAGATCCACTGGATTAAGTTCATTGGGTCATCCTCCCATTCCCAGGTTTGTGCCCACCAATCACAAACCTTTAGAGTAGGTTTTATATATTAAACCAAAAACCATAATTAGTGTAGGACAACAAATTTAGACAGTTTTTTGCAAGTCTTTGGCAGTTAAAAACAACAGGGTTTGGAATCTAGTAGGAATAATTAGCTAAAATAGTCAAAAGGTCCTAGTTTCACCTATATTGCTATGTAATTGCTTAGCTAACTAACTTGATCCAAAATAGATAAGAGTATAAATGAGCTATCAAGGTTTTCCCCATCAAAATAATTCAACACAAGGATCATCCCCAAAGTTAATAACAAAGATGCTTTTCTTTCCTTCATCAGGAGATCAGATAGATGGTGGCCACAGATAGATGGGTTTGAAGTTGAAGAGGAAGAAATGTTTGGAATATGAAAAAGAGGAGAGAAGGGTGGGGAAGAAAAATGAAAGGAAGAGAAGAGTGGAATAAAGATGAGTATGAGTGAGAAAAGAAAGGGAAGAAAAGGATAGGGAAGTTAGGCAAAGCAAGACTGTATGGGACTCGAGGCTGGGAATTCAAACAGCCTCACTGTTGACCTTCCACTGTCCTCTGCCTACCCCCAACACCCTCTTCCAGCTCCTGCTTCGGAGCAGGCAAACTTCAGTAGATGCTAGAACAGAGGATGGGACAACACCCCTCATGCTGGCTGCCCGGCTAGCTGTAGAGGACCTGGTAGAAGAACTGATTGCGGCCCAAGCAGATGTGGGAGCCAGAGATAAATGGGGTAAGGACCTAGTGGGACAAATGGCTTCTAAAGATGTAGGGGCTGGTGAACTGGGGATAACTGGTGCAGGAAACAAGACAGTTTTCCATAGAGATGGAATGCCAAGGATATTCTTCCAATTCAATAGAGTGATTAAGAACTTACTGTGTATAAGACGTTGTTAAGGGTTCAAAGACAAAAACGGAAGTCTCTGACTTTAAGCTTCATTATGCTACACCGACACAGAAAAGTAAATACAAGGCAGTTCGAGGGCAGAGCAATCTGCACTTAAACCGAGCCTTGAAGGAAGCTAGGAATTCTAAGAGGCAGAGATAAAGAGAGAATCCATGTGGAACAGTCTGAAAAAAGGCACAGAGATGGGAAATGGAATATCAATATTTGGGGAGGAGATTATAGAACAGCTTCCCTCTAACATATAGCACATTAAAGGAAATAATATGAAATAAGCCTGCAAAGGCAGGTTGGAGAAATACTGTGGAAGGTTTGAACTGCTAGGCTGAGAGGTTTGTATTTTCTTCTAGAGACACTAAGGAGCAACTGAAGATTTTTGAGCAAAGGAATGACATGATAAATTTTATGCCTTAGAAAGATTATCTTAACAGCAGTGTGACAGAGTGATAATGGAAATGCTATACAATTTACCTAGATTTTAGTAAATCATGCTATTTTTGTGAAAAACATGGAAAGATGTAGATTAGATATACAGTGAGACGGATTTGGAAATGATGGAGTTCCTGGACTCGAGTGGTCAGTACTAGGTGGTATCAACGTGAAAGGAGGTCTACAGTGGATGACTCCTATGTTTCCTACCTCTGTGTCATCTGCCAGAATCAGGATCTCAAAAAAGAGTTTGACAGGCTAGAACATGAAGCCAAAGCTAACTAGATGAAATTCAACAGGAATAAATGTAAAGCCGTATACTTGGGTTCAAGAAATCAACTTCGATAGAACAAGGCCAGGGATGGTTAGATAGCACTTTGTCTGAAAAAGAGTTGGATGTTTTAATGGACTGCAAGCTCAATACAAATCAACCATGTGATTCATGCAGCTAAATAAAAAAGAGAGTATGACTTCACATTGCATTAAGGGAGGCAAAGTTTCAGAGGATTAATGATAGTCCATCTAGTCAAAGCATATCTGGAGTATTGTTTTTCTGTTCTGGGCACCACAGTTTAAGAAGGAAATTGATAAGCTGGGAAAGAAAATAGAATGGTGAAGAGGGCCTTAATCCCATGTTGAGTAAACATGGGTTAAAAGAACAGGAATGTTTAGCTTGAAGAAGCTAAAAAACCCTGGAGAGAACAAGATAGCTGCCTATGGAAGAGAAACTAGACTTATCTATTTGGCCCCATAGGGTAGAACTCAGAGCAATGGATGAAAGTTTCAAGAAAGCAAATGTAGGCTTCACAGAAGGAAAACCTTCCTAATTAGAGAAAGACCAAAATAGAATGAGCTACTTCAAGAGATAGTGGGTTTGCCCCCATTATCCAATAGATGTGGATTGAACTAGATGACCACTGAGATGCTTTGTATCTCTGATTTTCTGTGAGAAGAGGATGGAATCAGAGACCAGTTAGGACTCTATTACAAAACAGTACTGGAGAGAAGTGATGAAAGCCTGAACTAGGATCATGGCCTTAATTTAAGAGACAGATGCAAAAAAATGTTGTGGAGACAGAATCAATATGATATGGCAACTGACTGGATACGCTGCTGCTCTGTATTAGTGCAGGAAATTTCTACACTAAGCGCCTGAAGAGAAAAAAAGAGTTTTAGATGCCAGTGATGGTCCATGATTCAATGGACATGTGTGGACAATTAAAGAACTGGAGTTCTGGAGAGATTAGGGTTGGATATATAGATATGGAAGCCACCTTTATAATAATGGAACCTGTGGGAGCTGATGCTATCACCCAGAGAAAATATAGGAAAAATGTAGGAACCTAGGCCAAAGAATTGACTGAGGAGACCTATGCCTAGAGAGCAGAACATGGATGATGATGATTCAGCAAAGATAGAGAAGCTGATCAGAGGAGGAAAACAGACTGGTCTCTAGGAAGAAAGGCTGCAAATGTTCTACAGGTAGAGAATGAGGACTGGGGGGGGGGGGACACGTTGATTTAGCAGTTAAGAGATAAGTAACCTTGGAGGGTACAGTTTCATTGGAGTGGTGTGGGTAAAAGTATGATGGCAGGGAATTGAAGAGTGGGAGGTGAGGAAGTGTAAACAGCTTTGAAAGAGATAAGGGATAATAATTAATACAGCCAGGGCTAGTGGCAGGGTCACGTGAAGGTTTGCCTAAAGGACTGGACCGGAGGCACATCCAGGGGATTATGCCTCCAGTAAGCACACAATCTGCCAGCCGAAGTCCATCTGAGCAGGGAAAGCAGTGGGAACAGACTGGAGAGGGCGAAGTGGACGGGGGGTTGGGGAGGGAGCGGTCCCTGTCCCCTAGGCCACAGAACAATGCCCCATTGTCTCTAAGGGTGACGTCACCGGGGCAAAGCTTCCTGCCCTTGGCTGCCATCTCCATGGTAACGCTTCCCACCATTGACTAGCAGAGGGGTCCCCATGCCAGCCTGAGCTGGCCTCTTTTCTCCTACTCCCAATCCCGTGAGAAACTTCTCCCAGACATCTCCCCCCCAAGGGACCCAGGCATCCGTTTCCCAAACCCTAGAATCACCTCTCTTTGCCCTGCCTCTGCCTCCCCAGGAAAGACAGCCCTACACTGGGCCGCCGCGGTGAACAATGCTCGGGCCGCCAGCGCCCTGCTCCAGGCCGGAGCCGACAAGGACGCTCAGGACAGTAGGGTCAGACTGCGCGAAGTCTCTTACGGGAGAGGCCAAGTTCAAAGGGCGGCTGGTGGGGGTGAGGGGAAGAGAGGGAAGAAGGAAGAAGAGGGGGTAGAGGAGGAGGGGACAGAGGGGAAGGAACCAGAGTCGGAGAGGAGGGAAACTGGGCGGAGCCAACACGTGACGTAGGAGAGAGAAGGCCGGGGAGAAAAGGACCTCCTGAGGCGTGGCCTTTCCCTGACCCCACCTGCTTGCTTCCCCTCCCCTAGGAGCAAACGCCGCTCTTCCTGACTGCCCGGGAAGGGGCGGTGGAAGTGGCCCGGTTACTCCTGGAGGCGGGGGCGGCCCGGGGACTGCGGGACCAGGCGGGGCTCGGACCCCAAGACATCGCCCGTCAGCGCGGACACTGGGACCTGCTGACGCTCTTGGAAGGGGAAGGGCTTCCGGAGTCCCGGCCCTCTTTGCGTCACAAAGCCTCCCTAGGCTCGGTGGGTGGAGACAAGACCGAGAAAGGCGCTTTCCCGCGCACTAGGACCTTACCTAGAGGCGGGGCTTTTCCGCGCAGCCAGATGACGTCAGCAGGAGGCAACCCGCACGGGGGTGGGGCTTACCCTCCTGGCCGAACAATGTCAATGGACATGGCCCCGCATGGGGGCGCGGCTTTCCCTCGTAGCCGGAGCCTCTCTGGAGGTGGAGCCCCTCCCCTTCGCGGCCTGAGGTCCCCAGCAAGCATGCGCGGAGCTCGACACGGCCCTAGGTTACTATTGGATCGATCCCGGGGACACAGAAGCAGCGCTACTACGGGCGGCTGGTCTTATGATTGGGTGGCTCTGGGAGCTTGTGGCCCCACCCCCAGGACTCCGGTCCCGCCCCCTTGCCTTACTCCCACCCTTGAGCAATGTTCCACCCAAGCCGCCTGGGTACCCGATCCATCGAAGTAATGCCCCTAAGCCGAGATAAGGGTGGTGGTTGTTGGGGAGATAGATGCTCAAAGCAGCAGTCTGGGGATCCCCCAGATTCTAGAACGAAGAGACTCAAGTGCAGGAAGATCCTCCCCCGCAATGGCATGGAAGGATGTGTCTGCTCCTAAAATAAGTTTTTGCCCCCTTGAATGAGCAATGCTTTCCCTAACAAGGGGGAGGACCTTTTACTGCGTTGGGATAAAGTTACAGCCTCCAAAGAGGGAGGGGCCATACCATCACCACTACCACCACCACTACTCCAAGAAAGATTATAGGACTGATGAGGAGCAGAAACAGTGGAAAAGGAGACAAGCAAACCAAAATGCAGGGATGCTGGGAGATCGCCAAAACTGAAGTGAGGATTGCCCCCAAGAGAAAGGAAGACAGGACATGAAATTGTTTTCCCTGTACAGATAGCTTCCAATGGGAGCCTGCCTCTGGAGAAGTCCCAGTTCAGAGCCAATGACTCCTTGTGTTTCTCCCCTTCCCCCATTAGATGAGATCACTTAAGGATGAGGCACTCAACTCTTCCAGCCATCTCCCCACTATTCCTGATGTTGTACTGTATTGTTATCTCCTAATAAAGCTGACTTCAGATTTCACCTGTTTCTTGTTCTCTCTTGGGCCTGAAGGATTGTAGGGAAGGTGGTGGGACTGTGGCACGGTACTGAAGTGACTACTGGCTAGGCTTCTGGAACTTCTCCCCCCCCCCACCTCACCCCCCACAGACAAAAAAAAAAATTTGTCTAGGAATGATCAATTCAAATGCATGTGGAAAAATATGTCACTTTGGCTTGACCTAGGGTCACCCCTAGGGAAATTAAGTCATCTGCAATCACAGCAATTAGATGTAAAATTCTTCCCAAACTTTACTCAGGGAAGGAATTCAAATGCCATCTTAACTCTCTGCTGACATCTAATACAAATGCAGAGTAGCCACTTAAATAACCACTAGGACAGATTTAAAGGGCAGAATTTGTGCAATTTAGATAAGGGGAAGGAAGTGTATTGAATGTCTTAAAGGAGATGTCTACTAGTCTTCAGCATTATAGTTATCCTGTCCAAGAACTAGAGACTACCTAATATTAGAGTCTTTGGAAAACTATGTCCTTAGGGACCCAAGTCCATGAGGCCATTACTCTCGATCAGTGCCAACCCTGCTTACCATCATATGATGACTTCCACATATAAGGGTTTTCTTTTTGCAAAAGAGATTCTGAGGTGTTGTCACATCTCCTTTTTGTTCCTAGTTTCTTATCCCTGACTCCCAAGAAGTTGCCCCTGCCCAAGGCCTAAACTCGATCCTTCCCGAGCCTTGGCTTTCCAACTCTTTGAGGGCAAGGACCATCCTATCTTATATTGTATATCTTTGTATCCTTAGCATGGGATTGGACAAATAGGATTAGGATGGTAGCCAAGAAAGACCTTAGAGATACCTTAGTCCCAGTATCACAGAATAATAGATCTAGCACTAAAAGGTACCTCAGAAGCTAATCCCAGATACACAGGGAGGTAGAAGGACACACAGGTCAGAAGTAAGATCTAAACACAAGTTCTGTGATTCCAAAGTCAGTGTCTTTTCCCCATATTATGCTGAAGAAACTTAAATGGGTCTGTTATTTCATTGGTTGGAAATCCCTTCAGTAAAACAGATGACCATCCATTCATGTCTTCCTATTTATTCTCTGCTACTCTTGCCCATGCCCTCTGCATTCACCACAGAGGATCTCCCAAACATGCAGGAGACCATTCTTGTTTCCTCTTGACACTGAGAGACCATCAACAGAGCATGCAGGCTGACCACTCTTGCTATCTCAATCATCCTTTTTTGTTTTTCCTGCTCATATATTTCTTTGATAACATTTTCACTTCAGTTCTCCTCTACTTATAATGGGGTTTACAGCATGCTCCCATCCACTATGTACTTCTCCATTGCCCTCTGAGTGAAAACTCATTTTTCAATTCTTTGGAAACCATCATCTCACATGACTCACAACCATACAACACTTCTGGAAAATTGGTATTAAAAAGACTGGACTTTGTTTCAAGAAGAAGCTTGTTGGCAGAGTTTTTTTGTGCTACCAAAGTGCTACATTTATATACGTTGTAAATACTTGTGGTTTAATTAACTGATGAAGAAGGTTCTCAGGTTGGAATTCTTCATTCAAGTTGGAGGCATCCAGGGGACAGCAGGAAGTTCTGAGACAGAAGAATTTCTGGCAAGTCACTTGGTCTCTCCAAACCTCAGTTTCCTCATCTGTAAAATGAGTATAATATTGGTACTGCCTACATCAAGATTTATTTTTGGTTTTTAATGACGAAAATGATAGATAAATGTGAGGTATCACCATTAATACCCTCCTGCCTCCTAGCAGGAAAGAACCTCCTCAAGCCAAGGTAGATACGGGCAGGGTGGGTGGGGGGTGAGCGGCTTACAGAGACAGAATCTTCTATAAGGTCAGGGCTATTCCCTAGGGGAGGTGAAGGACTGGGGTGGGGGGGCAGCCTGAGGAGTAAAACCACTTCCTCTACAGCTAGTTCCTGTGTTGACAGAGTCAGCTAGGAAGAATAGAACCTGTTATGGGGGGGGGGAGGTAAAGAGAAAGGAGGAGCAATGCTGAAGGCTGATGGAGTCCACCCCAATAGCTATTTCTCTTCATCAACATCTACTTCCCCAGCACCCTCAAAGTGAGAAAAGTAGGTTTTATTGTATCCCTCATACTCCCTTGGGGATAAGAGACTGAGGGCAGTGGAGGGTGGGAAAGGGGAACAGGAGGAAGTTGGTGTGTGGGGGATAGCGTCACTAAGAGGGATGGGTGGGGCTTAGGATGGAGAGGGGTGCTAACCCAGAACCCAGCTTCCTCCTTAGAACCTAGGCGTCTGTCCCTCAAGCTCTACCCCCCTCACCCCATTCCATCTCTTGCTACTTTCAAGGGCTCAGGGTGTCCAAGTCTACAACCACCACTACTGCCTACAACCCCCTTCCCACCTCCCCTACTAAAGGGGATGGAGACAGAGAGACTCCAGGAAGAAGACGAAGATGAGACTGAGCAGGTGAGTAGGGGAAAGTTGGGAGAAAGGCATAAAGAGGAAAATAGATACAAGAGAACAATTAAGACTCTTAGAAAGACAGAGTATACAGACTGAGACATACAAACAGAATGGGTTGGAGTACCAAGCCAGGCACTCTGTCTTGCCTTGGGATTTGCTTATCTGTGACCCTACCTATCATTCTCAGAGCCTTCCCCCAGATGATCAGGGCTGGCCCTCTCTGAATACTATCAGACCTTGGAGATCTGCACCCTCAACCCCTCCCCATTCCAGGGACCAAAACACAGGTAACTCAACTATTACTTCTCTGTAATTACTTCTCATGACCCCATCCTTATTTCTGGCCTTAGTACTAATCTCAGACTCAATCCTAACCCCTGCCTCACTTCTAACTAGCAGTCTCCCTATCACCCCACTCCCTAGCTGTAACAAGTATGTCTTTTACAGCCCTCTAATATTCAATCCTCCCCACTATATTTCTTACTGCTTCTCATGTTCCTAACTCCTCAACCTCCAAATCTCTGACCATAACCCCTACACATACTCCCCCAGCCCTGGGACCCCGCTCGGCCTCCATGCTCTCCCTGCAGACAGAACTCTTCCTGGACTTGGTAGCAGAAGCTCAGTCCAAAAGGCTGGAAGGACAGAGAGCCATCTTCCACACTCCCCCTGGCTCTCTAGCCACAGCCTCCGCCCAAGTCCAGGTTACAGAGGATAGAGACCAGCTCTACAGCACCATCCTCAGTCACCAGGTGAGATCAGAGCCTTCCTAACTTCCCTTAGCCATCCAGCTCCCATCCTGCCCTTTGGCCCCCAGGTTCCCTTTCACATAGCACCCACTCCTCTCATGTGCCCAGGAATCTGTACCACCCCACCCCCTCTGCCCCTATCTGTCCTTATCCCAATTTTTGCTGTCTTCAGAGAGAAAATCAGGTATCTAGCCCCACCCAGTTCCTGAATGCTCCCCTACCCAACCACCCAACCCCAGGACACCATTCCCTCAGGGTCTCAGGCATCCAATTTCCCGCTCACCTGCTCACCTTACTTCTGCTCCCTCCTTCTCCTCAGTGCCAGCGTATTGAAGCTCAGCGGTCAGACCCGCCCCTTCCACCAGGAGGGCAAGAGCTCCTGGAGCTGCTGTTGAGGGTGCAGGGAGGTGGCCGAATGGAGGAGCAAAGGTCCAGACCTCCTACACATACCTGCTGAGCTCTCCCCCTCTCCTCCTGAAGTTGGGGGTGGTGGAGTAAGGGACTGAGAACACTGGCAAAGAATTGTTTCAGTGCAGATCTGTCTCCAGGGGGCACTAGGGACTGCAGAAGGCAGCGAACACCTCAGAATCAACTCCTCACCTCCATTCTTCTCTGTGGGTATACTGATGCTGAGACCCCTAAACTTTCCCCACTGAGGAATTCCAGGACATTCTCTAGGAGAATCAAGAGTAGGGATAGGAAGGACAGAGGAGGATAAGAGCATTGTGGGCGAGGGAGTGAAAAGGGGGAATCCTGGTAACTGAAACCGTCCCTGGAGGGCACCTACCCTCTTTGTCCCACTTGGATCTGAAGTGCTGCGGTCAGAACAGAATTAAATCTTAAGGAATGACAGAGACTATCCAGATCCAATCAGACATGTACTGCCAGCAATATCAGTATCCCAAAGGTTTCTCTGCCCTCCTAAGAAACTCTCAGAAGTGCAAATGGGACAGCACCTCTATACTTTAGCCCTGGTTACTCCCAAGACACACACATCACTGCCCCCTGAAGGGGACCAATTTCCATCCGCACTCCCTCCCTGCCTCCAAAAAGGCCAGGACCTTTGAGAGGATAGAGTGCTGCCCTGGATAAACAGCTGTGGCCTCTTTGCCCCTTTCCCAACATCCACCTTTCCCTTCAGTGAGGGGAAAGGCTTGGGAACTCTGAGGGAAGAGATTAGAACCCTCCAGCCCCTACACCCTACCCCCCATCTCATCCTTTGAGAGAACAGGATGGAGTGGGGAGGCCCAAGGACAGAGGCCCCTTCTTCTCCACCCCACCTCCCCAAGTGCTTGATGTTCCAATTTTGTGAATAAATTTAATTTCCTTCTCATTTGAAGACTGGTGGCTAAGTAAGAGGGGGGTGGGATCATTGGGGACAGGAGCAAAGGGGAAAGGCCTGAGGCTAGGGCTGGGGAGCTCTCTCCTTTGTCTGGCTGCCAGCCAGCTCACCTCCCAGGCTGGTTAATTACTGGCTCATTAAGCATCAGCTGGAGACCTCCCTAATTACATGCCCACCCCTTCCCCTCCTCGCTCTGCTCCCACTCTCCTGGTCTTAATTAAGTAGAACAGGGAGGGGAGTCTTTAGGACAAGAAATATAAACGGCGCTGTCCAAGAACCCAGGCATCTGGCATCCTAGCCCCTTCCCTTCTCAGGACTCAAGTGCTACCCTCCCCCTCCAGCCCCTGGTTTCCTTCCCAAAGGACCAAAATAAGCATTAGGCCCACAGTTCTCGCCTTTCTATCCTTCTCCCCAAAAGAACCTTCTCCCCACATTTTCTCCCTCTCCCCTCATCTCCTTCCCCTTCTCTTTTTCCCCTCCTCCTCTTTGGTCTCCGTTCTTTGGTCTGTCTCTCCGCCCACAACTCCTCCCTGTTCCTCCTCTCCTCTCTCCTCCTCTTCCTCCTAGTCTCCCCTCCCCCAGCCTCCCCCCCTCCTCCCTCCCTCTCTCTCACACACACCCCCGACCTGGGCCTCCTCTCTCTCCGGCTCCATTTTCTCCGCCGCCGGGGGCCAGGGTCTCCTCTGGGGGGGGCCCAGCCCATATCCCAGAGCTCCCCCCAAGGCAGGGGCCCCCCAGGGAGCCCTGAGAGGGGGAGACAGGAAAGGGTGGTGGCAGTAGGAGCATCGGCCTAAGCAATTTTTCAAGAAAAGGGGGGGAACCCGGGAGAGAGGAGGGGCTGATCAGGGAGGGGGCTCCGGGGGGAGGGGGGCCCCCCCCAGCCATGGACGAAAGGCTACTAGGGCCACCCCCTCCAGGCGGGAGCCGGGGAGGCCTGGGGCTAGTAGGTGGGGAGCCAGGGGGACCTGGGGAACCTCCCGGTGGTGGAGAACCGGGAGGGGGTGCTGGGGGGGTCCCAGGAGGACGGGGAAAGCAGGACATCGGGGACATCCTGCAGCAGATCATGACCATCACCGACCAAAGCCTGGATGAGGCCCAGGCCAAGTGAGTCCCCCCCCTAAACCCTTCTCCAAATCTAAGACCTCTTCACACAGACGGGCTTTTGGGACCCTTCCCCATATCCCTGACCCCCTGCAGTCCTCTCACTGTCTTTTGATCCATCCTAAGTCCCCCCAATTACTCTACCTCCTTCCCATCCCCTTACTCTAAGGAACTCCTAGTTAGCTGGGCCCCCTTAGACTTGCCCTCCACAATGTCTTTAGGTGCTTGTGAACTCCCTAAGTGCTCAATCCCGTACCTGACCTCTCAGTAACCCCTAAACCCCTTGAAATAACCAATCCTCCAAGGCCTCCTTTTAATACCCAGTCTGGGATTTTTCTCATCTACAGTTTCTAGTACCCCCACCCACAACTGTCCCCAAATCACTTGGTCTCAACCTCCTGGCCACCCCCACCCTATCATTTTATCTAAACTCCAGGATCCCCAAACTTTCCCACTTGAGCTTCCCCTGCTCCTCTACTCTCAGCTCCCTCAAGCTATCCTTGTATTTAACCCTTCCCCACAGATCCCCTCTAACTTCCTTCTAGGGACCCCCCAAACTCCTAGCCTCAATCTGTCTCCTGGCCCCCTAATACCACTTATCTCTCCTATAACTCTAAGTGACCCTCCGAAACTCTTCCATACCCCTTTTGAACTCATTTCCCTATGTCCCAGAACACTTTTCAATCTGTAGAGACATTTTCTTAGTCCTCCCATCACACACACACACACCCCATCCCTGGTTGACCTGGTCCCCTCCTCTGGCCCCCTGGTCCCTCTTTCATCCCCATCCCAACTCCTTTCTACCTTTCTTACTTTTCCATGGAGTTCTCTCTCTGTTCTTGTCCCTCAACTTATTTCACCTCTTCCCCAACTCCCACATATTTCTTGCAGTAACTCTCCTATCTTTTTCTCCTTCCCTCTTTCTTCCCCTCCTCCTCCTCCTCCCCCCCTAGGAAACATGCCCTGAATTGCCACCGAATGAAGCCTGCTCTTTTCAGTGTCCTATGTGAGATCAAAGAGAAGACTGGTATGTATGCTCCTCTTCACACCCTTTTCCTGGGAATGAAATCCAGCTCACAATAGAGGCAAGAGGAACAGGGGGATGTCTGGGTCCTTGAAGAGTAGGAGGGTAGAAAAGGAACTGAGGACTATATGCAGAGTTTACCCAAGGAAAAAAAAAAGAAAAGCCTGCTAGGTAGATACCATAGACCTAAAGTTAAAAGGAGGTCCCAACCCCCTCATTTTACAGATGAGGTAACCAAGGCCCAGGAAGGTTAAATGAAATTGCTCAAAGTTATACAGATAGTAGTGTTGGAGATGGGATTTGAACCCACACCCTAAAGCCTCAATGTTTCATCCTGCATGGCAGGCCTCAGTATCCGAAGCTCACAGGAGGAGGAGCCCGTGGACCCACAGCTGATGCGTTTGGACAACATGCTTCTGGCAGAAGGGGTGGCAGGACCAGAGAAGGGAGGAGGGTCTGCAGCCGCTGCCGCAGCAGCAGCAGCTTCAGGGGGTGGAGTATCTCCAGACAACTCCATTGAGCACTCTGACTATCGAAGTAAACTGGCCCAAATCCGCCATATCTACCATTCTGAGCTGGAGAAGTATGAACAGGTACAGAGAACCCCCTTGGGCCAGGTCAAGGAGAAGGGCATTGGGAGGCTGTGGAAGGGGTCCCCCACATACCAATCTCACCTCTTGGTCACCATCCCAGGCATGTAACGAGTTCACTACTCATGTGATGAACCTACTTCGAGAGCAGAGTCGTACAAGGCCTGTGGCTCCCAAGGAAATGGAGCGTATGGTTGGCATCATCCACCGAAAATTCAGTGCCATTCAGATGCAGCTCAAACAGAGTACATGTGAAGCCGTCATGATCCTTCGTTCACGTTTCCTGGATGCCAGGTAGGGATTTTGAAATCTAGGATCCCAGCCCATGCCTCTTTTACTTACCCTCTTCCCCTTACTGACCACTACCAACCATACCCCTCCCCACCACCACAAATCCATCTCTTAGAGGCTTCAGTATTCTCACAAACCCTCTTCCTGTCCCTGCAGAAGAAAACGCCGTAACTTCAGCAAACAAGCCACTGAAGTCTTAAATGAGTATTTCTACTCCCACCTGAGTAACCCTTATCCCAGTGAAGAGGCCAAGGAGGAGCTCGCCAAAAAGTGTGGGATCACTGTCTCCCAGGTAATGGTGTCACGTACTGTAGAATGAAGGGCTCCTGTATCCCAAGACAGAAGAGTTTGTAAGAGAAGAGTAAACTGAGGGGAAGCCTGTCAACTCTTAGAGGGAGGGAAGAAAAGAGGGCAGTCAAGTAGAGGGAGATCAGAGAATGCTACCCTCCCTTAGTCCTCTCCTCTCCTCGACCCTGTACTCCAAAGGTCTCCAACTGGTTCGGCAACAAGCGGATCAGATACAAGAAGAATATTGGGAAGTTCCAGGAAGAAGCAAATATCTACGCAGTGAAAACTGCTGTGTCTGTCACTCAAGGGGGACATAGCCGTGCCAGTTCCCCTACACCTCCCTCTTCTGCAGGTTGGACCTCTCATCATTCCTGTTCCATTGGTTTGCACTCCCTGAATTTGCTTCCTTTTCCTGCCTGATCCAAGTCATAGCAGAAAGGGACCCTACCTGGGTGAGGGTGACCAAAATGAGACAGAGGTTGGAACATATCACAGCATATAGTAAAAGCCATCTTAGAAAACTTATCCCTTGCCTTCTCTTCTAGCAGAGGAGGTCCATAGGAAGGGTCCATTTGGAGGGAATGAGAAGGTGAAATCTTCTCTTTCTGTATTGACAATATTTTTCACCAATCCCTTTACTTCCTTAGAGGTAAACCTCCTAGGGAAATAGTTCTGTGGTACTCTGGGAGATCCTAGGTAGAAGAAATGGAATCTAGATATGTGAGTTTCCCATCTTCCTCTCTGTTTTTCTGCTTCCTCATAGGCTCTGGTGGTTCCTTCAACCTCTCAGGATCTGGAGACATGTTCCTAGGGATGCCCGGGCTCAATGGAGACTCCTACCCCAGCTCCCAGGTTAGTTGCACAAGGCCATGAGTCTCCTTCTCAATACCTTCCCCCGCCTGCCCGCCCCCCCCCCACGCTGGAACATGCCCACATGCATTTCATCTTGTAATTCTAGGGTGTAAGAACCACTTCTCTTGCCCTGGTCTCCCTTTTCATATGGGAAAATGGCTTTTGGCAGCTTTTCTTTTGCAGCTCCCTCTCCCCCTCACCCCTACTTTTGCCTCTCTCAGGTGGAATCGCTCCGTCACTCAATGGGCACTGGGGGCTACGGGGATAGCCTTGGGGGAGGCCAGATGTACAGCCCCCGGGGAAATGAGGGTGAGTCTGTGTATAGAACCACCCCTACTCTCCCCAGGATTGGAGAGATGTACCCTACACTCTGCTTCCACACCCTTTCTCAAAACATGAGAACTTCCTCCCTTGCAATCCTGTCTTTCTTCTTTCCTAGGCTAATGGTGGCTGGCAAGAGGCAGTGACCCCATCTTCAGTGACATCCCCAACAGAGGGACCTGGGAGCGTTCACTCTGACACGTCCAACTGATCCAGTCTCTGTCTCAGGGGTGGGGGCACATGGGGTGACTTTTGGAGAGGCCCCAGACATCCAGTGGACACACCCCACCCAGAGGAGAAGCACAAGGCAGGGAGGCAAATGGGGTTTTTCCTCATGAAGAAGGCGTCTCAGTGCTGGGGGTGCGAACCACAGGGTGGGAAGGCTCTCCCAAGGGACCCTTCTTTGTTTTCCCCCTTATCCCTGCCCTCTACCTTATTTCTTTTCTTCCTCTTATTAAGTCTCCTCTCTCTCTCTCTCTCTCTCTCTCTCAAACTTGACTTATTCTCTTGCCCTCCCCACTCCA